GGCTCAGGCCCAGGCCCTGCCCACCTTCCAGGTGGCCGCCTTGAGGTTGAGAGTGCGCCCGCGGCTGGTGAGGGTGCTCTTCATGCGCAAGGAGAAGCACCGCTCGCTGGGGGCCTCCGGCTTCTTTCTGGACAGGCCTGGGGAAGACCACAGGGGCGGGGCGGGGGGCGGAGCAGGTCACTGGGGCAGCTTCCGGCAGGACTCAGTTCCCTCCACAACCCCAGTTACGTAAGTCTCCCCAGCCTCATCCCCAAACTTGAGACTTGGAACCAGAAAGGGTCTTCCAGGGCTAGGGTATGCTCCTTCAGACCCGGGGGGGCCGGATCCCCTCGGATCCCCATTTTTCTCCACTCAGTCTTCCTCAGGGAGAGGGGATATGCTGAGGGTAATTTGGGGGACAGAGGCCTCCCGGAAACTCACTCTGCTGGGGAGTCAGGGCGTCCTGCAGCTCCTCGTGGTCACAGGGATGGATGAAATCAAAGATGCTGTGGCCGATGAGCTCCAGCTGTGGGGGAGGGGAGCACGGAGGAGCTACTGGAGGGAAAGCGCCTCGCGAGGGCCTCTGACCCGTCCCTCTCCTCCCTCCCAGCCTCCTCGCCTCAGCCCTAAACCACGAGCCTGCATCATGTCACCAGCCTTCCTACTCATTTGTTCATTCGTTCATTCATTTTTCTCCACCATACTATTTGCCAGGCCCTCTTCTTTCTAGACGGTGTGGGCACAGCAGTGACCACAAAGAAGAAGGTCTCTGCCTCTCAGAGCTAACTGGCTAGTGGCGGGAGAGAGCCGATAAACAAAAACAACACAACACGCACGTATTTGAAACAGCATAAGAAGTCATATGAAGGAAACTAAAGCAGGATAAGGTGAGGACATGGTGGCACGCTATTTTAGAGGCACTCGTCGGGGACGGTTTCTTTGAGGAGGCGGTGTTGAAACAAATTGCTGAACACAGCCAGCGAGGTGGTCTTGTGACTCTCTGGAGTAAGGTGTTCTGGAAAGCGGGGCCAGCAAATGCAAAGGTCCTGAGGTGAGTCCCCATTCCAATCCCTCCTGTTTGACAAGCTAAAGACCCAGCTCCTTGTTTCGATTCAGGCCATGAGCTCGGTGCTGGCAGGAGAGAACACGGACCAAAGGGGACTCGCGACAGCTCGCAGTCCAGAGGTGATGGTGAATAGGGCGAAGGTGAGAGCGCCCTCCTCTGACCTCTCGTTGCTGGATGTGCATCCCGGCTCCGCCACTTCCTAGCTTTGGGACCTTGGGACCTTCACCTTTCTGAGCCCAAGTGCTCAAGCTGAAGGAGAAATTGGTACCCGGAGTCGGGTAACGAGGCAGGGAAAAGGAACAGATGCCCAAGCTTGGAGCCCATTTATGGGAACTAGGGAAATGAATGGCAAGTCTCACAGGATTTGCTGCAAGGAGCAGCTGAAATTAGTTCGACTCCCTAAGCGTCTCTCGTTTTCCCATCCTTAGGCTCCTACCCCTATTCCTCTTCTCCTGCTCAAGGCCCTATACCCACCTCCTTGCAGATCTCCCAGCCTCACTGCCTCCCATTCTACCTCTGTGCAGCACTTAGAGGGGTCTTTCGAAAATGTGAGTCTGATTCTCACACAACCTCTCTCCTGCTTAAAATCCTTCCATGGCTCTCCAGTGCCTCGGAGATAAAACTTCTAATTTAGCCCTAATGTATCTAGGCCCTGCTGGCCTCGCTAGCCTTTTCCTCTCTCACCTCCCATCGTACCCTACACCTAGCCAGAATAAATGTCTTTATTGTCCCCAAATGCTGTTTTATCTAAGCTCTGAGTCTTTGCATATTCTGTTTATCTTCTCGGCCGTCTGCGTGTCCCACATCCTTTGACTGGCTGAGTCCTTCAGGTTTCAGCTCAGATCTCTTCTCTTCCTGGAAATCCTCGATTGCCCCCAGGATCGGGTACCCACCCTCCCCAGGCCTGCACAGCCCCATCACAGCCCTGACCATTCTGAGTCTTCCTGCCTGGTGACACGTCTGTCTCCCTCTGTACTGTAAGCCCCGTAAAGGCAGGGCTAAGGCGGTCCTGGTCACCTCTGTATCCCAACATCACCTGCATGGACCAGGCACAAAGCAGGCAGCTCCTCTCACCTGACTGAGGCCCAGGTGTTTGCTGACATTCTCCGACAGGTAAGCCATGTCTCCCTCGGCGGTAAGCACCATGACGAAGCCCTCCAGGGCCTTCAGGTAGCAGGCATCCAATGGTTCACCCCCTGCTCCCACCTGGCTCCACTCCCCTGGTGTCCGGGCCAGGGGGGATGGGGCATCTCTAGTCAGCCATGGGCCCCCCTGGCTATCCCCCCTCTGCCTTCCCTTACTCAGATAGCTACCCCCAGGTGAGGGGGCCACATCCCAGTGGCTTGCAGTCCCAAGGAAGAAGGCAGGGCCACTAAGGATTGGAATTCTCAGGGAGCAGGGCCTCCTGGGGAGACAGCATTCTAAAGAGGTAGGAGTCTCCCAAGGGACCAGAAATCTTAGGAGGACAAAATTCTAAGGGAGTGAAATTCCCAGGGGTCAAAATTCTAAGGGGCCAGGGCTTAGCAGGAGTCAGAATTCTCCTCGCAGAGAAGTAAAGTTCTATGGGGCAGGGAAGTTTAATGGGCAGAGCCTGCTGGAGGATGACTTCATTTTCTCCACAGCACAACCTCTTCAGGGTCCTGGGGCTCTAAGGGAGTGTGTGTGTGTCTGTCTGTGTGTGTCAAAGCCTCCTGTAGAGTGGAATTCTAACTGGGTGTGAATTCAAAGAGATAACTACGTGAGGGACAAAAAATAGAACTAGGGAGCTGAGGAGGAGAAGGGGGACTCCCTCAAATAATTAAAAATTGGGCAGCGAAGCCTCGCAGGGACCCAAGAGAAGGTCTCCCAGGGGACCAGATCCTAAGGGTTGAGGCGCTTTAGGGAGTAAGCCTGGGAGTTCTCAGGAGGCGGAGCTTCCCAAGGGTGCATTCCAAGGGGCGGGGCCTCACAAACCTCTAAGGGAACTGGGCTCCGACTGGCCCAGAACCCGAGGGGGCGGGGCCTCACCGGGGATGTGGCTTCCAGGGACGCTGGGGCTCCGCTGGGAAGACATCGGGGGGCGGGGCCTTGCACGGACGCGGATTCCCAGAGGAGGGGCCTCCCTGGGATGCGGCTTTCCGAGGGCGGAGCTTCGCCAAGGTGGGAATTCCCAGGGACGGGGCTCACCTGCGGAGCAGAGGCGGTGCATGCGCAGGTAGCTGATGGTCAGGCGCATGATGGAGGCCTTGTCCAGGTGGGCGCTGACCCCGCGAGCGAAGGGCAGCGTGTGTGCCAGCTGATACAGCACCTCGGTCTCCTGGCTGCGCCGGCTGCGGGCCGCATCCCGGGACTTCTCCTTGCGCAGCTCGGTGCTCGACCTGCGGAAATGGGCAGCAATTACTGGTGGTGCCTGGGGAAGGGAGAGGTGGAGGGGATAAGCACGTGGGGTGCCGCCACATGGGGCCCAGGCTCGCTGTGTGGTCCCGGAGCGTTCCCAGAGCACTCTGGGCCCGGAAGGGCTCTCCTCTGGAGCCGCTCTTAGCTTCGGGTTTTTATCTGTCTCCCCGTCAGCCCATTTGCTGCGCTCCTGTGCCTCGCAGGGCCCGCTCTGTCCCCTCCCCGACTTATCTACTGTTCCTTCCCTGGCTTGGGACGCCTGGGGGACAGGGAGGCCTCCTGCTGGGAGGGGGCTGGCCCAGCTGGCCCGGAGCCAGGGAAGGGAAGGAGCACGAAGATGCCTGCGGCCTCCCAGGCCCCCTGCCCTACATAGCCTCTCAGAACCCCCTCTCCCGACCTTCCCCCTCCTCAGCGGAGCTGAGTCCTCAGAATCTTGGAGCTCAGATCTCAAAGTCCAACGACCCACCAACGGGGGCCCCACCAGGGAGGGCTCTGTCCAGCCAACAGCTAACCACTCACCCCTGCCCTTTAATCCACTTCAAACGCCTGAATTCTGCCAGCCGGTTTGGGAGAAGGAGGATGTATATCATTTTGTCAGAAATATCTGCCACTTATCCAGCTTTTACTATTATGTCAGTCCCTGTGCCATGTGTGTTACTTCCATTAACCCATTTAGAGCTCGGACGACCCTAGAAGGAAGGTAATTATCCCTGTGGGACAAATGAAGACACAGGCACCGCGCTTGCCCAGAAGGAGCGAAGCCAGGGTTTGAACACTCTCATTTTCTGTGTGTCTCTGGCTCTGGGTTTATCTCCAGGTTTCGGCGCTTCTTTTCCCTATTTCTGCCACTATTTGAAGGGTCAAGCTCCAGGTCTGTCTGAATCCAAACGCTCTAGGTTTTTTTCTTTTTTTTAAAGAGTATATTATATATAGCATATATAGTCTTATCTATATAATATTGATTAAACCATTAACAGTAAGCAGCTATAATTTGCTAAGCGTTTGTGTCTCTGACACTGCACCACACTGTGCTCTGCCCGTGTGTACTTATTCAATCCCAGAAGTCTTGCTCAGGAAGTCACAAAGCCAGGAACTGGCAGAGCCGGGATCTTAACTCGGACAATAAGCTTCCACGATTTTAATTCTTTCCTTTTGACCCACCCCCAGGAAGCAGAACTCTAGGGGGTGAGGGGAGTCAGTCCCTTCCTAGAAACCAGAGGCCACTTCTGGGGGTGGCATCAACTTACTCCCAAGCTGCAGACCTGCAGCCCCACCCACAGGCAGGATGGGGAGAGGGGTGGGGATTGTCCTGTCTGGCTGCAGGAGGGAAGAAACTTCAGTGCAGCTGGGAGGTACAGAAGGGGGCAGGCTGGGTGGAGGGTGGAGGGAGCCAGCGATCACCCCCATCCCCTCCTTTCTGGCTGGTGGGGGGGGGCAGGGGCCTCCAATCCTGCTCTGCCTGAAGGACATTCCGTCCTGTCCTGTTCTGGTTCTGTTCCAGCCCTGTTTGTCTTCCTGCCCGGAGGTTGGGGGTGGGTGGGCCCCCACTGAGCTGGGGGCCCCCCCGGCAGAGGGAACAGGGGTTGGGAACAGGGACAGGGGTGGGGCCGGCCCCCACCTCCTGGGCAGCTGAGCTCTGTAATCTTCTCTGTGGCAGGCTTCTCCCTCCTCCAAGGAGCTAGCTGGTGGCTGCAGTGGACCTTCCCGCTCCCAGCCTGTTCTCTGACAGGAAATGTGGGCCTCTAGCTGGCTTCGCTAACTCCTGGGTCTCTGGCCTTTCCCATTCAACAGAGTGGGGGCTAATTCCTCTGGTTCAAGGTTCCAATTTTGACTCCATTGCTAATTAGCTGTGTGGCTTTGGACAAGTTGCACAGCCTCCCTGAGCATTATAATCACCAACCTCACAGGGTTAAATGAGTTAATATGAGTTAATATATGTCAAGGGCTTAGAAGAGGACCTAGCAGTCGATTAGTGCTCTATAAAGGTTACTGCCCCCCCCATGTCCGCATCAGGGGTGGAAGGCTTAGGGGCCTCTTGGAAACCAAAGAAACTGGGGGTTTCAGTGGTAACCCCATGGTCTCGTGTGTGCAGTTACATACATGAGTTTCACACAAGCACCTTGGGAAGACTAATGAATAGCAATAGTAATAGTAACGGTAGCTTTGGTGTACTGAACGCTCATGGAGCTCGAGACCCCATTAAACCCTTTCCACAACCCTGTGCAGCAGGCCAGTGGCATCCCGCGCCCTCCGCCAACGCCCACCGATGCTCAGGGCTTCTCAGTTAGTCTGACCAGGTATCTACCAGCATTTCCCCCATCTTCCTCCCAAGCAAGCAAGCTCAGCGAGGTGATGGAACTTGCCCGAGGACACGCAGCTTTTCGCCAGCAGCGCCAAAAACCAGGTCTGTCTAGTTCTACCCAGAACTCGGACTGACTCGGGACGGAGTTTATTGCATACCACCAGGGGGTCCTGCCAAGGGATCTGTTCCCTCACTGCTCTCCATCTTGATGTGGCGCGGGGGTGGGAGGGAGGGAGGCATGACCCCTATTTTTCCAGGATGTAAAACAGGCTCAGAGAGGCGGTCACTGGCACCAGGCCACACAGCCCGGAAGCGGGTGAGCTGGGATGTGAGCACCCTGACATTAGGTGCCTGTGCTCTAAAATGCCATGCCTCGGTGGGTGTGCCCACCCAAGGGGCCCCTGTCCTGCCTCTCCTTTGCCCAGTAGCCTCAGACCCTTCCCCTTGTCCTACCCCTTTGCTTCCAGATTGCCCCAGCTGGACAGTCTCCCCAGCTGGCCCCGTGCCCAGTCCTGGCCCAGCCCCCTGGCATTCTGCCCAGCTTGGGACGTGCAGCTGGAACCCTGCCACCCTTCCTCTGTGTTCCAGCAGAGAACAGGGGGTGTGGCCAGGGCCGGGAGGCCCCAGAGTGAGGCCCGAAAATGGGGACTGGGGCCCGATGCCCTCCTCCCCCAACCAGGAGAGGGAGAAGCCCACTACCTCCCTGTCCAGAACAACTGACCACCCATGAGCAGAGGCCCGGAGAAAGTGGGGAGACCCTGGCCCACACTCAGAGCTGCTCCTGGCCTCTCTTCTGACATCAGCTGGGTATCATATCAGGGGCCTTGCAAAAAGCGTAGCGGATTGGGGGTGCTGAGGCTGTACCTGGGCAGGGATTCCTCTTGGCACTACCCAGGTGGCCTGAGAGGCCAGGTGGCCATAAAGGCCAGAGGCAGGGTTTGGATTTGAGAAGAGATTTTGGGTGGGGGCCAGTGTGAGCCTCTCTGCTCCCTGATTTGCTCATTCCCCAGGACATGGCATTCAGCACGGGGTGCCCATACCAAAAGTCCTATCTTCTATGGGGACCCTCTAACCTAGGGGTCACCTGGGGCCCTGCGCCCAACAGGAACATCCTAAGAACATTTCTAACTGGGGCGGGATGGCAATAAACCCTAGCTGGAAGAAAAGAAGGGGCGAGGGGATGTGGGGGGCCCACTCACCATCGCCCAGGCCCCCCTTTGGCCCAAGTGACATCCTAGGGGTGCAGGAGGGGATGGAGTGTGGCCGGGATCCGGGTGCGAGTTATAAGTGGGTGGTGCATGGTGCTCGGATGACACCACAGGAAAGGGCTGGCCTTGGGTAGAGGTGGGGAGCACCCCAGCTTAGCGAAGAGGGGCCCCTACCCAGCCAGGAGGGGGCGCTGGGAGGGGCTGGGCCTGGGGTGGCCCAGAAGCGATGGGATGGAGTTCCCTGGTGGGCTCCGAGCCAGAGACGGAAATAGAACTGGAGAGGGCAGGTTGGGGGGTGTGACGGATCCAATCAGACCTTTGAAGCCAGGGAGGAGGGGAGGGGGTGAGGCTTCCCGGACGCCTCAGATTGGACAGGGAAAACCAAGGGTCTGGGACATTTTCCGGGGCCCTCATGAAAACACGGCCAGATAGGACCCTTGGGGGTGGAGCCAGAGCACAGGTTCCGCGCGGCGGTCAGCAATCTGCACCTGGCGGGAGTCGAACGCCCAACCCCACCCTCCGCCCAGGATGGCCCTGCTGGGCACGGCGGCAGGGGCGCTCCCATCACAGCTCTCTTCACGGGGTCTTCCCAAAATAAGGCTCGAGCGCCCCCGTCCCCATGGTCACAGGGGCTGGGCGGGGCGGAGGAGTGGGAGAAGGCGCTAACTTCGGGAAGCGGGTCAGGCTGTTTCCTTGTTATTCAAGGAGGAGACCCTACCTTTCGAAAGGATACAGAAAGGTCCCCGGGGAGGGTCCCAGGTAGCTTCTGGAAGAGAATCCCCTCTGCCTATTTCTAGGGCACCTAAGTTTGGAAGACAGAGTGAGGGAGCGTCCAGTGAAAGGGGATCTCTCTTCTCTTGCACTCAGGAGCTGACTCCCCATTCCCAGGTGTCCCTATATCTGGGAAGGCTCAATTTGTGGGTAGCTATCCCACATCTCATTAGGATTTCAGGAGTCTGGTGGCAAAGGACAACCTCAATTCTGGGGGTTCAGAGACCAGAGGGTCAATATGTGGAGGGAAAACGCCGCCCCAGAAGCCCAGAAACTGCTCAAGTGCAACATACCCCCAACCAGGCGGGGAGCTGAAGCCGGAGAAATCCGGGGATCACGACTCTGAAGTGGCAACTGGCTAGAGGGGCGGGGCAGCCGGGGACTTGGGGAAACCCACTCCCGGGCAACCCCCTAGGGTGGAGAACGCGGCGGGGACGTGCCTCCAACCGCGCGTCCCGGGGCGTCCTTGCGCTGCGCCCACGCATGCCCACCCAGCTCAGGGGTCCCCGAAGAAGAGGCCCCCAATTCTCATCATTCTTGCCCCGGAACCCCAGTACCTTGCGCGCTGAAGCCCCAGCGCCATGGCTTGCGCGTCGCGGCTCGGGAGCCCTTGCAGGCCCCTAGCCCCCTCCCCTGCCCGGAGCGCCCCCTCCCCAGCTCCGCCCCCGCTGCGTTATTGGCTGCG